GACAAATATAAATGTGCATGAACAGGCGCCTGCAACAGGAATTGGTTAACCGTTCTAGCGAGCAAGTATACACGGATACGTAAGGCCAACCATTTTTTTTTTATTTTTTTAACGTCTCTGTCTCCCTCTCTCTCTCTCTCTCTCTCTCTCTCTCTCTTTCTCTCTCTCTTTCTCTCTCTCTCTTTCTCTTTCTTTCTCTCTCTCTCTCTTTCTCTTTCTTTCTCTCTCTCTCTCTTTCTCTTTCTCTTTCCTTCTTTCTTTCTCTCTCTTTCTCTCTCTTTCTCTCTCTCTCTCTCTCTCTCTCTCTCTCTTTCTGAGACGCTCTTTTCTCTTTTGATAAATTTAACTTTACTTTCTTTTTATATCCGATGTATTTTTCCTGTTTTTTTTTCCTTTGTTTTCTATTTTTCTTCTTTTTTTTTTTCTTGGCTTTCTGTCTTTACTTATACTTTGTTTTTTTTTTTGTTTTGTTTTTTTTTTTTGCCTCGTTTTCGTTCTTTTATTTTTCCATTCTTTCGGTTTCAGTTTTTCTTTCCCTTATTCTGTTTTTCCTTTTCTTCCTTCCGGTTTGTTCTTTCCGGTTTATTCTTTCCTCTTGCTTGCCCCACTTTTTCCGTTCTTCCTTCTTTTTTTTTTACTTCAACATCTTATGTTCTCTCTACTTTCCCATAGCTTTATAGTTTAAGCCATGGCAATCTTTTTTTTTCTGTTTCTTGATTTAAAAAAGAAACGTTACCTAATAAAATTTATTGCGTCATTATGTGGAAGAATTATGTAGGCCCGATTCCTTCTTGATTTTTTTCTATCTTCTTGGAGGATACTTCTATTCAAGATTTACATCCATTTTTTTTTCTCATGTCGCTTCTTACAAATCCACTTTTACCGTTTTCCGACTAGAAAAAATATTTTACGACAGTCGTAAATGAAATCTTACATTTTGGCTCCTTTCGTATCCAACTACATTTTTATCCATTTTTAAAATTTATTTTCGCTTTGATGTATTTTTTAATTTCTTATCATTTTTTGGTTTAAAACTAACTTTGCACTGATTACCCCTATTTTTTTTTTTCGTAATCGTACATATACTAAAAGTGTGTATGTCGTACTCACACACACACACACACATATATATATATATATATATATATATATATATATATATATATATATATATATATATGACCTAGGATTTCTGCACTCTTTCTGGAATGGTTTTTTTTCTGCTATCCCAGTTAAAGATGTCCTATTTACATTTATATCCTTCACTGTATGAATTCTACTGAAACAAAAAATAAATCTATTACGAGATTTTATGAATTTGTAATAGGAAGCAGTGTTTTAAATATAGGCGGGACTTTGGTGAATAAGTTGGCACTGAGCATTTCTTAAGATTAGATAACCGTTTTGAAACTCTTGGGATATATATATATATACATCAATCCAGCTAAACATTTTAGCTCTATCTCTGATATTGACCGCTTTCCGACAAGTACTGCGCATATATAATATATAAATAATATATATAAAAATTACACACACACACACACATATATATATATATTAAGAAATGGACAAAGTCCGACAATTTATTTATTAAAGACATTTTTATGTTTAACGTTCTTTTTATAATAAACAGTATTAAATAACATTTACAGGCCTGAATGTCCGAGAAATTTTCATAGAAAATATTCGTCCTTTGACAGGATTCGAACCTGCATCCTATACGGAACCGTCATTTACGCTGACGTGCCTAACCTCTCGGCCACAAAGGAGCGTTCATATATTAAGAAATGGACAAATTCCGACAATTTATTTATTAAAGACAATTTTATTTTTTTTATGTTTAACGTTCTTTTTTATAGATACAAGTATTTAAGTAAATGCTCTTTTTATAACAAATGTTATTTAATACTGTTTATTATAAACAGAGTATTTACTTAAATAATTGTATCTATAAAAAGAACGTTAAACATAAAAATGTCTTTTATATATATATATATATATATATATATATATATATATATATATAGTATTTAGTAGTTATTATAAAACATGGCTTGAAGATGAAACTGCCACCCAGTGGTTAAGGTTTAATATTGGTATTAAACTTAAATACTGCTGACCAGTTTCGAAACAAAGTAATTTCTATGTCGTGATAGAATCATATTTTTAAAAAAATAATTATAATCTAGGCTCTACTTGTCTATCGAGCACTGTTTTTTTTAAATAAAAATAAAAACAAAAATACTAAAGAAATTCGGATCATCAATCTAACAGTTCTTTCCTGTTATATCATTATATATACGCACACACACGAGTACACACACGCAAATATATATATATATATATATATATATATATATATATATATATATATATATATATACATACATATGTATATATGAAGAAATATAGTCTTAAGATGTGCTATATTTATGATGTGTGTCAGTGTAAATGTCCTTTAGGAGATTAAGTTTATGTTAAGGTGAAAAGTATTAATACCTTCCCCACTGATACCAGTAAAAAATATAAAACAAATCATATGCTATACTAAATTTAACACGACCAACTTAATCACCCACATCATACCGACTTCTATCCACAATATACTTGTAGAAATTTTCAATAATACATTCATCTAAAAACGTTTAAAAATCACAGAAGCTTTAACAATTGGGCACAGTATCAGGGATACATGTGTAAAAATAACTGATTGACTGATTTGTCCGTTTAACGTCATAGCAACACTTTGGGGGTCATTTAATACCGAAATTTAATTTTCTTTGAAGTTTTGAAGCAATAAGCATATGATATATGTTATTCTGCTTTCACAGTTGGATACATGGTAGATGATACTCAGATTTCGTACATATACATGTTTGGGTGGACATAATTACTAAAAGTGATGATATGTGTGTTTTATGTTGTTGTTTTGTTAAAGTTATATTTTGGAATAGAGTATGATTGTTTTAAGAATTGGTGGACATTTTATGAAATAATGCCAGAAAAGATTTCTTTCATGTTGATTGTTTGGTAGGTGAAGTGGCTACAGTTTGTTAGCATGTGCATACTGTTGGTAATTTTACTATAAATATGGATTGTTGGTCATTTTTATATAAATATGCACTGTTGGTATTTTTACTAAAAAATGTATTTTCATACTTTCATAGTGTTTAGTTTTTGTTTGTAGGTTAACTAAATGGTGTTTCATTAAGAGGGATTATATATAAGAGTGTTTCATTAAGACGGATCTAAGTCAAAAGTAAATAAATCAGTTTTATTGATGAAAATTTATTTATTTCTCTATTGGATCATGTTATTTAAGTCATGGCAATTATGTTTGAAAAATAATATCACCCAAATGTCCGCCAAGGCTTCGGCGGCATACCTCCACTCGATGGTCAAAATTGATGTCTTTGCATACTTGCTCCTTGATCTCACCAATATGCCTTATTATCTCATCCTTCAGCTGTTGAATTATTGTTGGCTTGTTGGCATAGACCTTACTTTTGAGATGACCCCAAAGGAAGAAATCTAAAGGCGTCAAGTCTCACGATTGTGGTGGCCAATTGACATCGCTGTTTCGAGAGATGATGCGACCTGGGAACTTCTAATTGTGTTTCTGTTTGAACGTCTATTTTCGTAATAGGCTTCGATAACTTTAACATGTTGTTTGATTGTTAATCTTTCCATGATTGAAAATGGCAAAGATTTAAGTTGTTAAATCTGAAAGAAAAAGAACAAAAATCATTAGACGCTTAAACTTAATTCACATTTAAAATCGGTCCAAATAATTGGAACATCCTTTATATCACTGTTATCCCGTCGTCGTCGAGGAAATTGTCAATGCCAATTAGGTAGAATGATATTAAATAACAGGTCAGTAATGTTTCTTAATACTCTGTTTAGAGTCCAGAAGTCTACCATGCTTCGAATATTGCTTGAGATTCTTGATAGCATCCATAAAAGAATCTGCAAAGATTATTGGTCCTGACCTGGCCTATCGGCTTCAGTCACTTTCCCACCGGCGTAACGTAATTTCCTTACGCTTTTTCTATAAATACTTTTATGATACCTGTCCGGATGAATTTTCCCCTATGGTACCTAGACTTTATGAAGCCAAGTTCTCATCACCTTACAGTTGAAATGGCTAGATATAACCGTAAGTTCTATGCTAACAGTTTCTTCTCTCGCACTCGTTATAACCCTAAAAAAAATTTAAAATCTAAAGACTCCGCTGTTTCGAGAGATGATGCAACCTGGGAACTTCTCATTGCATTTCTGTTTAAACGTCCATTTTCGTAATAGGCTTCGATAAGTTTAACACGTTGTTTGATTGTTAATCTTTCCATGGTTGAAATTGCAAAGGACTTAAGTTGTTAAATCTGAAAGAAAAAGAAAAAAAAATCACCAGACCCTTAAACTTAATTCACATTTAAAACCGGTCCAAATTATTGGAACAACTTTTATTTACCCATAGCTGAGGCCATAACTGGTACTATGATCCCCGGGCCAGAGTTCGCCTGGGAACAACAGCAATCACACTCCTCGAATCTTCCAATCTCCCAATGAGAAGCCTTGCTGCCGGATATTTAAATTCAACACCGATTGCCAAAAGTTTGTTTCAGAGCTGAACACGTTTTCCAAGCTTGAAGCTTACGTTCAAGCACAATACCGGCTACGATCTTCAAAAATTTAAATGCAATATCTATCGTCATCTTCCTGAAACCTATTCTTTTATTGTCCTGTCTCCTCGCAAAGGCATTCGCGTTATATTTCAGTCTCAGTAACCCTTTGCATCTAAATAGCATTATCGCTTTACATATCGAGAAATGCTTATGAAAAATGAGAGACATTTTAACCGTGGACCTCATCGCTATTAATGCAATGAACTAACCAGTGTGCTGTGTCAGTCAGGACGAAAGCAAACACGTGTTAGTGTTTTATTTGCCTAGTTGTCTGCCGTGGTGAGTAAATATTAGTGAATTGAGTCTGCATTGTTAGCTGAGCGCGATTAATAAAGTGTTTCGTGCGGATATTGGATTCTGTCCATCAATAGCCTCTTTGCTTGCCACAATATGGGCCCGAACCCCGACAGACCCAGACACCTGCACCACTGCGATGGAGAAAAAGAGGTTTATACCGCGTCGAGGAATGGTCTGTGTTAGAATGGGAGGTTTTGTTGACAAGAAAGGATAAAAAAAAAATCACATGTGTATACGTCCACGGTAGAGAGATAGAAAGTGAGAAAAGACGGAGAGGAAGATAACACCATTAGACAGAGAAAGAGAGGGATAGAGAGAAAGAAAGATAACTGTTACATGTAAATAGACTGAGTTAGATAGATAGATAGATAGATAGATAGAGAGAGAGAGAGAGAGAGAGAGAGATAACACTGTTAGGCATAAAGAGTCAGAGAGAGAAAGAGAGAGAGAAAGATAACAGTGTCAGATAAATATAAACAGACTAAGATAGATAGATAGATAGATAGATAGATAGATAGATATGAATAAATTTGGATAGATATGAATAAACTGAGATAGATAGATAGATAGATAGATAGATAGATAGATAGATCGATAGATAGATAGATATGAATAAATTGGAATAGATAGATAGATAGATGGATAGATAGATAGATAGATATGAATAAATTTGGATAGATATGAATAAACTGGAATAGATAGATAGATAGATGGATAGATAGATAGATAGATATGAATAAATTTGGATAGATATGAATAAACTGAGATAGATAGATAGATAGATATGAATAAATTGGAATAGAGTAACTGAGATAGATAGATAGATAGATAGATAGATAGATAGATAGATAGATATGAATAAATTGGAATAGATATGAATAAACTGAGAGAGATATATTTATGAATATACTTAGATAGATAGATAGATAGAGTTATGGATATACTTAGATAGATAGATAGATAGATAGATAGATAGATAGATAGATAGATAGATAGATAGATATGAACAAACTGAGATAGATAGATAGATAGATAGATAGATAGATAGATAGATAGATAGATATGAATAAAGCGACATAGATAGATAGATAGATAGATAGATAGATAGATAGATAGATAGATAGATAGATATGAACAAACTGAGATAGATAGATAAATAGATAGATAGAGTTATGAATATACTTAGATAGATAGATAGATAGATAGATAGATAGATAGATAGATAGATAGATAGATATTAACAAACTGAGATAGATAGATAGATAGATAGATAGATAGATAGATAGATAGATAGATAGATAAGTAGGTAAGCTGGAAATTTCATAGGCTGACCAAGAAATAAATTAATGCCTGGTTCTAAACAAAAGAAATTCTAACTACCACAGAGACACAACATCAGTTCTTGAAAATGACTGAGTCAGTTGAAAGTGCTTGGACTAAACAATAACACAATATGAAGTTCGAAAGATTTATCCACAATTTCGAGCTCAACACTCTCCACCTTATCCGATAACTGAAAAAACCTCAATAAAAAAAATTAAACAGACAGAACTTTTTGGTTCTTTTTAATTAATATTATATATAATATTTATTTAAAAATTATAACATAAGTATGTTATAACAGCACTGCAAAGATAGCCATTTTGTTTCATTACTTCCGGTGTCTTGTCAAGTGACGGCATTAAATGCAAAATAAAGAGTTTTAACAAGTTCAAAACCAAAAAAATAAAAAACCTCAATCGGGGGCACATTCTTACGTAAGCTATGATGGCCTATTAAATTTTAAGGCCGAAAGAGCATGTTGCAAATTTGCGAAACCAGAAAGAAGCGATATAAAGTACAGAGAAATCACCATAAAAAAGGGAGTCTTGGAGAATTTAACACTCACAAGGAACCATGAGTGTAGCAAAAACAGGAAATCTATGAATAACTGAATTATCGAATGTTTGGAAGGAGGTAATTAGGGTTATATTCGGTGTCCACCCTTAGGGCATATCATAAAACTATATACCGGGTGTAACAAATTATCCAAAATAGTGTAAAAGTAAAATTGTCCATTAGTTAGATTGAACTTTGAACCGTTGTATCATTAGAAATGATTAAAGATATCTTACTGGAATTCTCCGAGTTTTTGAGCAGAAAGAATGTATAATTACTCTCCAAGCATAACAGAAGAATTGTGGTGAAATCCATCATAAACGAAAATGACATGCTCATCATTAATTAATCATAGCTAAGGATCAAAAGCTCATGACATTCAAATATATATATATATATATATATATATGTGTGTGTGTGTGTGTGTGTGTATATATATATATATATATATATATATATATATATATATATATATATTATTCGAGGACCATTTTCCAAATGATTCAAGATGATCTTCGCCCTCTCTCACCTTCCAAATTTCTGTCCTCATGTAACAAGTTACTTCACTGTTTTCACCTACGATTTCATTCTCAAATGAAAAACAAAAAGAAATATTAAAGAAGCCAGGTCTAGTGTTCACCGTGCGTGAGATAGATATTATTTCTCCTTTTATAGCAAGATTAACGCTCGACAAACGTACATATAAGTTTTAAATCAAAATAAAATTCTTTTCGTTTTTCATTCAAAATACTCAAATTTTAGGAATACGTTTTCACAACATCGCCCACGTGACGACGACGTGATCAATATTTAAACGGAACGCTGATCTTATAAAAGATTTCAGTTATCTGTTTCGATTGGTATTGCTTTTATGTCCATCGTCTTTTTCCTGTTGAATTGTATATGGTCTAATATTAATTATGTTTTATGAATATGTCCTGAAGATGGTCTATTAGACCGAAACGTCCGACGTTGACATTAAGCATTAAAACAGCATAATCGCATATATATATATATATATATATATATATATATATATATATATATACACTTTTTGAATTTGTAGGTCTGATGAATTGGATCGTATTTACAATTCCAATGGAATAAATTATGACCGTGGAATATAATATTAGTGTTTAAGCCTTTTTATTATATCCTTACTCTGTCCTGGACATTGAGTTCTACCTGGATTCTATCCTCTTGGAATTATCTTTTATACAAATATATATGTATGTGTATGTATGCATGTATATATATTTATATATTTTAGATATATGATTGCATATGTATGTGTACATTTACCACTAATATTATCCATCTATATATATATATATATATGTGTGTGTGTGTGTGTGTGTTAATAAATCAGATCGAATATTGATGTTAAATCTCTACAAATTTATGTGAACAGAGTTGAAAGAGAGAAACCAATTTAGTCTGCATTGTATACAGAAGCGTTTATAAAGTCGTTCTGTAAATAATTCGTACCGCCAAATATATGTGCATCTGTTGTGGAAATGTCCATTTGCAGTAATTCACAAAAGCGTACCTTAATAGACAAAAAGAAAAGAAAAGAAAACGAATCGTTGGGTCAAACAGTGAAATAAAGAATGGAAAACACTTATCAAATTGGGCTTGTACTCGAGAATGGCAGACGGATTGAATAGGGGAAGGAAGGACTGAAACGCCGGAAGAAGGAAATTATTGAATGAACAAAGTCTTTAATGACGCAAACAAAAAGAAAGAAAGAAAGAAAGAAAGAAAGAAAGAAAGAAAGAAAGAAAGACAAACACTGAATAGAAAGAAAGAAAGAAAGAAAGAAAGAAAGAAAGAAAGAAAGAAAGAAAGAAAGAAAGGAAGCAAGCGTTGAATTGAAAGAAAGAAAGAAAGAAAGAAAGAAAGAAAGAAAGAAAGAAAGAAAGGAAGGAAGGAAGCAAGCGTTGAATTGAAAGAAAGAAAGAAAGAAAGAAAGAAAGAAAGAAAGAAAGACAAACACTGAATAGAAAGAAAGAAAGAAAGGCAAGCGTTGAATGGAAAGAAAGAAAGAAAGAAAGAGAGAAAGAAAGAAAGAAAGAAAGAAAGATAAACAATGAATAGAAAGAAAGAAAGAAAGAAAGTAAGAAAGAAAGAAAGGCAAGCGTTGAATGGATAGAAAGAAAGAAAGATAAACAATGAATAGAAAGAAAGAAAGAAAGAAAGAAAGAAAAGCAAGCGTTGAATGGAAAGAAAGAAAGAAAGAAAGAAAGACAAACACTGAATAGAAAGAAAGAAAGAAAGAAAGAAAGGCAAGCGTTGAATGGAAAGAAAGAAAGAAAGAAAGAAAGAAAGCAAAACAAGTTTCATACACGTTCACACAAGCCACACCACCATATATATATATATATATATATAGTCAAACTTAGTGAGCCAGACAAACCTACCAGATCCGCTTAGGTGAAACCTGGGTAGGTTTGCCTGGCTCACTAGGTTTGACTAGGTCTGCGGTTGTATTGAGCTCTTTTTAGTTAGTTGTTAACTCGTGTCGTGTCGAGGTTTTTTCTTTGGGCTTCAAACCTGCATCTGTGCGATTTTTTTCGACAGACTTTCATGTTTCTGGCTCTTTTTTAAAAACCTTTTTTTTCCTTCGAGATTGATTTGATTATTGGCAAATCAAAAATTCTAAGGTTTTTCGAGACGAGTATAGTTACCTATATATATATATATATATATATATATATATATATATATATATTAGGTATAGGCTGTCTAGGTAGGCAGGATAGGCAGTGTCTAACCTAAATAAAATAGATCAGCAGCTACAGTTTCCTTCTGTGGCACAATATGCACCTAATCCAACAAAATTATGAAGGTAACTCTGATTATTATGCAGAAAATGTGAAATATAGATAGATGTATATATATATATATATATATATATATATATATATATATATATATATATATGTGTGTGTGTGATGCAGTAAAAACAATTTATACACATATATATATATCCAATAAAACTGTCAAACTGACCAGAGAATTCAGAATAATATGTATCTATCCAGCTCTTATCTCAAATAACAACTTAAAAGAGACTGTTTGACCAACACAAGAAATGTTAAAAGATTCATGTTAAAAAGATAAAAAAATAAAAAAAACAAATGAAAACTACAGACAAAAGTTCATTTTCTCCAACAAAAGACATTAATTTCTGTAGTTTAGTGCTACCAGCAAGCAGAAATATTTCTCCTCCCGATGATGGCCATTTCGGTCGAAACTAGTCGAGGAATCTAAATGGAATAATAATAAAAAAAACGAAGAATATTAATCTACAACCCAGTGTGTCTAAAGATTTTAATTTTTTATTTTCTTATTGTTCAAAATATATATATATATATATATATATATATATATATATATATATATATATTAAGTGTTTCGCCCGAAGCAAAGAAGGAAGCCACTAGCACGCAAGGTGTTACAGAGTTTATATATATATATATATATATATATATATATATATATATATATGTATGTATGTATTTTCCATAATTTTGCTACACGTGTTTTCGGTCTCGCGTCCTTCATCAAGCAAAGAGTGGATATTTCTACATATTATTAAAAGGAATTAATTTTTCTTATGCTTTTCGATGTTAAATATTCTCGATATTAGACATTCTCTTTTTTGTGTTAGTGATCCAAATGTCTTTCTTGTTGTGTCTGATCAAGGCCTGACCAAAATTCATGTTAAAAAAATAAATAAAATAAAAAACTAATGAAAACTACAGACAAAAGTTCATTTTCTCCATCAAGACATTCATTTCTGTAGTTTACTGCTACTAGCAAGCAGAAATATTTCTTCTCTCCTGATGATGAGGGCCATCATTATCAGGAGAGTAAAAAATTTGGCCGAAACTAGTCGAGGAATCTAAGTGAAATAATATAATCGAAAGAATATTAATATATATCCCAGTGTGTCTGAAGATTTTAATTTTTATATATTTTTTTATTTTTCAAAAGATATATATATATATATATATATATATATATATATATGTGTGTGTGTGTGTGTGTGTGTGTGTGTGTGTGTGTATTGTGTGTATTTAGGCCGCATTTTTTCATTCATACATGTTTCATTAAATAATATAGACAAGTTTTGTCTATTTATTTTATGTAAATTCTTTTCATTTCGTCTAATAAGCTTAATAACATTATCATTAAACGAAGAAAGAAAATCACAATATTGATCAAAAGCTAAAAATCCTTGAAGCAATATACATCAAATTGTTGAAACCCAACCTAAACAAAATCAACTATGGAATCTCTACAAATATCCCCAAATATCTATAATTGGTAACAGAAGCCATTGGTTTATACCTGTGACGTCCCTAAACACAGCCTTCGCTCGCTCCTCGCTGCTTCGTTCGGGTGTCGCCACTCCAAACGTGACATCCGCCTGTTTGCGTCAGTCGTGTTGTCCCGTCCTGTGACGACCAACTGGCTTGGTATCGGTCGCGGCACCCAAATGTGACGTTCTAACCTTTTGGTGATTCGGATGGGAATCTGGTTAGATTCGATATCAGCCTCGTCGTTCCCAACTCGCTTCCAACGACTGGTTACCAAAGTAACTGCATTGATCTCCAGTCTGCCTACCCACGTTGTGAATTGATCTTAGGCAGGCGAAATCAATCAGTAGTTGGGGCCGTAATGCAAATCGGGTTCAAACGGGGGTGACACCGCACAAATATGCATAAAAGAAAATAAAATGATAACTCAAAAATTCAAGGTATCAAAAAAAGGATAACAAACTTTATGTCTAGTTGTTAGATACATAGGACTGCGTCTATCTCCCGACCCGTTCTATGGATTGTGACACGTTGTTTTCCGTTAGGCGAGCTTTAACACTTCAAGTTGTTTGCTCTTTAAGAAATTGGTTTTTCGGTGTGTCTTCGGGCGAAAGTCGAAAAAAACTTATTTCAGTGGTCTGGAACTAAGTCGCTCTTCAAAATAATTGTTCTTGGATTGAAGAAGAGTCCGGAAATTGCGCGAATCTTGGTCAGCCGATGCGAGGCTTCACTAGAGACTGACTCTGGGAACTGTCGCTCCCGAACTCAACTCTGGAACTCTCTGCTGGAACTGATTTCTGCTCGCTGCAACCTTGCTTATATGGACGCCGACCAAAACCGGGGTGGGTTTGTCGGCGCCAGGGGTTCCTCGATAATTCTAAATACATATCCACTTCTCTTATTTTTGGTTAGGAATTTTCCACTTCTTTCCATTTTTGGGATCCCTCTCTTACTCCCACCTTCTCACCATACTTCAGAGGGACGTGAACTGCCCTCCCCACTTCTTCGTAGCAACCTCTCATACCCATCCTCTAAATGGGCGGTGACAGCTCCCTCCTTGCGTCACGTGATCACCGCTCGGCCAACGATGACCAGCCGACGTGTACGATCCCGCGGGCTTTGTTTCAGGGAAAAAAAATATATATCTCGCTAAAAAAAAAATTATTTTACCCCGGTCTCATCTGGACATCGTCAGTCAGATTATCGCTAATTATCAGAATGGGTGGTCTATTTAACACGGCCAGACCGTCGCCTCGAAAAGAAACATTTCTAGGTTTCCAGTCACTCTTTGGTGAACATTACAGATAACATAGTTTTATTATCGCAGCTAAAGACGTCTTGTCAAAAGAAAAACGGTCAGTCGCCACCTCGTGTGCGGCTTTGACACAATTAATTTTTCATATCTATTCAAAGCCCTGTAGTTCACCTGTTTTTTTGTCAATTATCAAAATAACATTTTCAATTGGATTTTTCTTTGGCTAGTCGGTCTGTGGTTTGCTTAATCAGATGTTTTCCCGCATTAGCGGTTTGTTTATGTATCCCCGATAACACAGCTCGTCGCCAGAACACAACGATTCCTTTATCCGCTCAGAATTTCCCTGCCATTGTAATGACATTCTTCGCCATTTGTTACTTATCAAAATATCCTTTATCCATTGTCTCTTAGTCGTGGGTGTCCTACTTATCATCCACGTTTGGGTCTCGCCTCTCTTTTCCTTTCTCTCCTTCCTCTCTTTCCTTTCTTTTCTTTTTTGCCTTGGTAAATGGTGCCACATACCAACGGCTTCCCATACTTAATACTTCTCGAATTCACTCTCGTATGGTCATGTGTGACGTCATGAGCTGCGGTGCGATTTTCGCTTCTAGCCTCTTATATGCATGTGTTTATCGTTGCTAGGAAATCATCCATGTAAACAATCACAGAATATCATCACTGTCTTGTCCGTATATTGCTTAATATATTGTACAGCAATTGACATCTTTGATAATGGCTTATGTAAGCCGAAAGCTTAGATCGGATTAAAAAAAATTGATCAATATTGTGATTTTCTTTCTTCGTTTAATGATAATGTTATTAAGCTTATCAGACGTTATGAAAAGAATTTACATAAAATAAATAGACACCACTTGTCTATATTATTTAATGAAATATATATATATATATATATATATATATATATATATATATATGATGTAGTAACAACTAGCTGGGCTAGTCATGTTGCAAGGATGAGTGAGGGGAGAGTAACTAAGGTTCTCATGTATAGTCAGCTTCACAGTAGATGTTGAAACACCGTTTTCCTTCCGATCATCGAACTTCATCATATCAGTTAATATATTCCAATCATTTTGGGATTTCTACGAAAATGAAGCAACGATATATGGGTAATGGTTGAACTCATGGTAATATTAGCCGTTTCCCTATAAGGAAATATTTCGCATTCATTGACCAAGCAGCCAGTACTATTTCCGATTGAAATTTATTAAATCTTTCTCTTGAAACCCTATTTTACGAAAACGGGTTTCTCATGTACATTATTTTTTATCGCTCTTCCCATTTAAAAATGAAGGATTTCCTTCCGAAAATTCTATTTGAAATGATGTAGACTGTCAAGATTTTGATTATTTTTTTTTATTTTCTCTTGTAGTTACATGTTATATACATTTTAGTTGTTGCCATTTTTAGTGGTGCTCAAGTGATATGGTTTCTGTTATTTGGTAAAGTTGTGTATTCGTGATTCTGTAGCGACAGGCCACAATGTTCAAATAAGATCTTTTTTCAAGAGCCTGAGGCTTTACTCACTCAAAGCCTTTTTACGCAATTTATCTGAGGAAGCGGTTTTATACAGCTGAGAGTTTAAATATTTCTGAACGGGTTTGAGGCCATGGATGACGTCCATATAAAAACCTCGATCTGACGAGGCTATTTAAGAACATGACTCGAGTTTTCAGGATGATTTTGTTTTTGGTTTAAGTAACACTTGACCTTTTACCTCATATTTCGGTCGCTCGAAGCCTTTTTTTACCATTGAAGCGGTTGTATACAGCTGTGAGTTTAAATATTTCTGAACGGGGATGACGTCCGTATGAAAGTCTCGATCTGACGAGGCTATTTATGAACATGACGACTTTTCAGGTTGATGGTTTTGTTTCGTAGGAATTCGCGTTGTGTAGCGAAACTACCTCTGGGACAGCCTATTTCATGTTCAATGCTTAAGATGGCGACAGTAACTATTCCCTTTTTGATACAGCTCTTTGTTTGTGATTCCGTAGCGCCAGTCCATAATGTTTGAAAAAGGATGATCTTTGCCAAGACGCTCGGGTTTCACTCGCTCAAAGCCATTTTTAACCAGAGATCTTAGGAAATGGTTGTATACATCTGACATTTTAGATATGTTTGAACGGGTTTGGCGTCATGAATGACGTCCATATGAAAATCTGGACCTGACGAGGCTATTTAAGAACATGACTCAAGTTTTCTTATGTAACATGTTTCTCAAGTACTGATGAGGGATTTCCTTCTGAAGATTCTATTTCAAATAGTGTGGACTATCAACATTTTGATTGTTATTATTTTCTGTTCGCCTTACGTATGCTATTCATTTTAGTTGTTGCTGCTGTTGGTAGTCCTCCAGTGATGTGGTTTCTGTTATTTGGTATTAGTTCTTTTTTTTTGCGATACTATACTGCCAATACACAAGGGTCAAAGAATGTCCACAAAGACCCTAAGGATTTACTCACTCAAAGCCTATTTTCCCTATTGTTCTTAGGATGGTCCGAAAATGAAAACCTTTTTCCTTAAATTGTGATTC